AGTAATGTCAGTGTGTAAGTCGCCAACGCATAAGCTTGCCCAGTGGCTACTGGAATTATTGGGTCCCATTAAGAAGCAATTTTGTAAGTATTTCTCATAAGATACATTCGAAGTAATCAAATGCCTTGAGGATGTTAACATAAAGAGTAAATTTATGTGTTCATTTGACGTTAACTCATTATTTACCAATGTCCTTTTGATCAAGACAACTGACATTTTATGTGATTATATTTCTGTGCATAAGTTTCTGATACCCATTTCTTTGGATCATCGGGAAGAGCTGTTACTTTTATGTACGAACAATATTGAATTCACCTTTGAGGGTGAACATTTCTGCCAGATTGATAGTGTCGCTATGGGAAGTCTATTAGGTCCCCTCCTAATCGACATATTTATGTCATTTGTGGAGAACTTAACCGAGAACTTAATAGACCAAGCCCATGTGTATCGAAGACATGTTGACGATATCCTGATCATTTGTGAAAACTCAAATCAGTCTGCTTTAATTCTAAACCGATTGAACAAAGTACAAGACAGCATATCCTTGACATGTGTAAGAGAGGAAGATGACTGCTGGCGTTCTTGGATATACTAATTAGTCGAAGGCAGGATGAATCCATTAAACGATCTATCTACAGAAAACCTACATGGACAGGGCAAGATCTGAATTACCATAGCTTTTGCCCAGTTTAGTACAAGCGAACGTTAGTAAGGTGCTTGCTTATTCAGCAGAATTCGATGAATGTGCACAGAAGATACTTTAGAAGATGAAAGAGGAACACTGACTTATAGTCTGTTGGAAAATGACTATTCATCAACATTTATCAGGCAGAATAAAATTATCAGAGCGCCAAAACTAGGTCTTCAGTCTGTCCCAAAGAAGGATGTCTTCATCAGTCTTCCGTAAAAAGGTCACTCTCATAATGCAATCCTTTAGCAGAAACTTAACGCTGCTGTTAGAAGGACTTATTATCCAGCCAGGGTTCGAGTAATAGAAACCACGAAGCCCGTATACTCCTCCAAACCCCCACAACATATGAATGACAATGTCACATCCCATTGTATCTACCAATTCAAATCTACGTGTGTTGATACATACATAGGGAGGACTAATAGATCCATGCAAGTAAACGCCTCGGAACATATTTCAAAGTGGCTTCAGAAGCAAATAAAAACACCTGAACCCATAGATACTGGTAGCAGACGTCCAAGTTCTTCAATCGCCGAACATATTGTTGAGAGATGCCACTTCCTTTACACCTATTTACAAAACATGTTGGGAAGGGATGCTTAAATTCGTTGAGGCCTTAACTATTAGAAAGGTGAAATCACCTTTGTGTGTTCATAAACAATTTATTGTCACATTAAATCTTCCTTGGTAAATTCATCTATTGAAAACTAGGTTCGATGCATTATTATTTTTCGCTCTATTGATTTTCAGTGTTATTCGGCCTTCAATTCAGCCTTCCTACCTGACCTCTTTTTATTTTCTCACGCCTTATCTTCATGAATTTTTTAAATAAATACCTATGACAAGTAAGTAAGTGTGGTCAGATAGTTCTAAATATGTTGAGCAAATACATTACACGATTCAAACAATTTACGTTTTCTGATTGTTTTGTCGAAGTTGTTTTAAATGATGAATCACACCTTTTTTTTGTTTCGGATATTACTTTAATCTGAAATCATCACTTCCGTTTATAAACTTCTACAGAACGATAAGAAGACGTAAATCGTCTGGACCGTGTAATGTATTCACGTGACACATTCCGAACAATCTGATACACACGTACTCGTCAAAATTATTGATATGAAAATTCATGAAGATAAGGTATGATAAAATGGAAAGAGTTCAAGTAGAGAGACTGAATTAAAGGCCAAATAATGCTGAAAAGCAATAGAACGAAAATAATCGTACATCGTACTTGGTTTTCATAGTTGAGTTCAGCACGACAGATTTAATTTGATAACAAGTTGTTTTTGTAGACACAGAGGTGGCTCAGGTTTCCTCAATAGCTAAGGTCTTGAAAAGTTTAAGGATGCGCGCCTAACATATTTTCTATATGGGTCTAAAAGAAGCAGCAACATCAATCCTATGACCTGTCCCAACTACATGTTTCGCTATCAAAGATCTTGGATGTCTACTTCCAACGTCCATGGATTCAGGTGATTTAATTTGCTGCTGAAGCTACTTTAGAATATGCTCCGAGGCCTTTAATTATATGAATTTATGAGTTCTCCCTATGTATGTATCACCATACGTACATTTGAACTCCATATGTGGCGTGATATTGTCGTTCATCTGGTGTCAAAGTTTTAGAGAGTATATAGGTTTGGGGGTTTCTCTTAATTGCACCCTAACTGCATAGTAAGTCCTTCTAATATCAACGTTATGTTATTGTATAAGGATTGTGCTATGACAGTCACCCTTGTACAGAAGACTGATAAAAATATCTTTCTTCAGGCCAAAGTAAGGAGCAGGATTTTCGCTCTGGCTATTTTGTACTTTATGATACATTTTTGGGGATAGTTATTTTCAACAGTGTTTCAGTCAATATTCTTCTCTCCTTTTCTGAATTATCATCTGTGCAGATTTTTTAAATTCTATTGATTAAACACCTAACTAGCGCTCGCTTGCAATGGACTTGACAAAAGCTATGATAATTCAGATATCGCCTTGTTCAACCAGGTTTCCTGTAGATGGTTCGTTATACGGATTAGTCTTGCTTTTGACTATTTAATATGTCGAAGAAAGCCAAGGAATCATCGTTCTCTTCTATACATGTCAACGATATGCTACTCAACACTTCATTCAATTGGTTTAGAATTGAGGTGGACTGACTTGACTTACTAAACATGATTAAGATATCATCAACATGTCTTCTATGCGGATGGGTTTTCTCAGTTAGGTTCTTCGCCAAGTTTTCCATTGTAATTATTATTATTATTTGTCCCTTGGGTGTCTGGTGGAACATATGGCTTCAGCAGCACATCTTCATTGCACTCTCTTCTCCGCAGTCTTTTTGTACCTGGCTCCATGATGGCCCACAAGATTTCATTTCTCCCTCACACCATCTGCTCCATATCATCCTTGGATGTCCAACTCGTCGTTTCCTCGCTTAGTTTACTAGCCAGTCCTGAGCCCGGAAAAAGAGGAAAGGTTGGGGGTGGGGCTAACGACCTTACCCCGGAAAATCAATCCGGTCGCTAAAGAAACATCAAGTTTTCCATATGTGATATAATTAGACTGAAAAAGCAGTTTCTTATTTCATGAAGATGATTTGACTCTTTGAAACCTTCATTTCAGGATCTTCTTTCAACGTTGAATATATTTGAACACGGATAAGTATGAAAAGGATTTTTCAAAAGCAAAGATAAGAATTCCTCTTGTTTACGCTGGATATGTTATAGTTTTATAAATCTCAGTGTACTTGAAATGAAATCATTTCAACGTTTTGCAGTGCCCAGTGTTTGTAATTCTTTTCAGTCAAGTATTGATTACATTACAGATAATTTGTGTTGTTTACAGTTTATGAGTCAAATGTTTATACATTTCATGACCTAATGACAGTATGGTGTTACAGTTCCTGCGGTTCCAGGTTTCGAAGAAGTTCTTGACCGGCTAGAAGAAATTACTGACTTCGGAACTGTTGTAGTGTGTAACTCCATTCGATTTGATCTTTTAGATGTATAACACACACACACACAGCATTATTGATTCTTATTTATTCATATTACCCAGTAAATAGCACTGTTCCACTGTATGATGTATCTGAAATACCAGTTAAAATTGCATTATTCAACAGTGCCCAACGTTTACGATTATATTGATGAAATACGGTCTTCATACTCGGAGACTAGTCAACAAACTTACACTCCTTACATATACAGAAGCCAAATTCAAAAACCATAGTATATCCGACATTCTTTGTCTTAAAAATCAAATCACTGCAAAGTATTTAAGTCTGCGTACTCCAGTTCCAACAGATAAGGTGAAGAGAGCAGTACAGTGTATCAGTAAACTCTGTCTAAAAGAAGAAATTCATAGAATAGTCAGGAAGTTGCGCAACATCCGTAGTTTTATTGAACAATTAAAGTGCAAGCTAGTGAAAACAATTAGTGAGAAAGATTGTGAACTCTTGGTCAACAGCTGCAACATAGTGAGGTCATTTACTTTTCGAAAGTCCAAGAATATTCAAATAAAGAAGGCTAACAAGCTAATGGAAGAAACGTATTCGTTGGAGAATAATGAGATTCCCAATAGCACATCGACAGACATGGAAAAAACAGAGTAAGTTTCCAGTCTGTCGGCTAGGGTTGTAGGCTCAACCGAAGTAAAGTTGCTGGGAAAGGGAATTAACTTCAACGTAGCAACTAATGAACTGAAACCTGAAGATGTCATTCCTGAAGTTGAAATGACACTAAATTCAGTAGATAAGACAGTTGCCGAAGAGATGTGAACACGATGTGAACAAACACTCAATCAAAAGAAGGAACAGAATCTACTAAAAGCTGAAATTGATGTTTTGACTAATCTTCAGAATGACAACAGTATGGTAATTGCTAAATCAAACAAAAGTAACTACCTTACATTAGTTGTAATGGTACTTGTTATTTCCCGCTGCTATATAGGGCTAAATTGCTCGACCTGTGTGACTGTCGTGCCCCAGTGGCTTAGTGAATAAAGCTGTGGCGTTTGAAGCGAAGGATTCTGGGTTTGGGCCTCAGTGGGAACAACATCCCTCACTGTGATGCAGATACATCCAGGTGACAAGTCTCAAATAGGACGAAATGACCATCTTGGGTTTCTCTGCTAGTCACCTTATATTGGCGTTAAATGAATCTGATCCAGTTTCACTGTGTGATACTTCTGATGAGGTAACTAAAACGAAATCCTTATTCCAACACAATGTGAAGTGAAACGACTCACTGAACAAAAAATATGAAAAACAAATTAACTGCCTATTTGTAATTGCAGTCGTAAAAAGTGGAACATTTACCTCATGAATAGCATACGCAGCACTATAAACCTCTTCTTGTAATAGTCGATCAATTCCAATTTGTGCTCTTTCACGACTACCATAAGCTTGAGTTGCTAGAATATCGTAAGCTACTTGATGTCTTTGTGTAGGACTGAAATATGATTCTTGATTTTCATGACCAAAAAATCTGAAATAACGTTTATAATGTACATAGATAAAATGATTATTTACGGCATTTATTGTAACAAAATAAATTCAGTTCATAAGTTACAAGTTCGCTTTGTATGCAGGGCAATTTTAAAGGCCACACTAGTAACGATTTTAATTAACCAATCATGTGTCTTTATTTTGGCTCGAAAGGCAGATTTTCATAAAATATGGAAGTCGGATTGGTCACTTCAGTTGTTCCTAGAGTGACCTTTAAAATCACTTTTGTATGCACATTAATTGTATCCGCGTATATTTTCTTATCATCATCCGCAAAGTCATTTTAATTCACCACTGGTTGTAAACTTTATTTCCAGTAGACAGATTATGTATATTTACGCAATTCCTAAGCTCAGCATTAGTAATTCGAGACTATCTGATAAATTGTATATCAAGTTGAAAATCGTTAAAAACTATTGAGAATCATGTCATACTTAACTACTGTTTAACGGTATGACATAGAAAGACATCAGTGGTATAAGAACTGGAATAGTTCTCTATCACTTGCAGGTACCATATTTTACAGTAGCCTTTCCACTGTATAAGAAATATGGAAGACAATGAGATGACTGTAATGTCTGACTGAACTCCTAATGAAATAATGAATCAGTTTATTTAATATAATACTATGTTTCTAAGTGAAACGAAGAAAATTAATTGATTATTTGAATACTCCCTAGGGTTCAATAGTAGTAACTTTCATGGTCTGATGAGACTATTTCGTTGATAAAAGAATTTCACTAAATCATCACTCATCATTATAAAATTTTAACTAATTGTTCGCCTTACTTCAGGAATCAGCCTGCAATATATAGCTTAGTAGTATTGTTGGAATACTCTAGAGTAAATATTACTTGCACATGATCCTATAGTCCGGATAACAATAATACATTGTCATTTATTATGCCAACAGAAAAAATGAGTTACAGTATTACAACCATACATAACCTTATGGGATGTATCATGAAATAATTAAGAATCATGAGTTCCAGATATAGTGATATACATCACAGAAATTTTGATACTTCATAAAAAACATTTCAGGTCTTAAGAAAATACCGTTAAGCTGTTGGAACAGGTTTCAAGGTGGCCAGACGATAGCATCAGTCTATGAAGTCCCCAACTGTTAATTTGAGTCGTGTGAGGAGATTTAGACTTCCTGGTTAAGGTCCGCAAGACGAAAGAAATCAATGGTTAGCGACTCAATGATTACATGGCTGCAAATCGGTTACAATGGCCCAGATGTATTCACTCCACGTTTTGTAAAGCTTGAATATTCCCATTATCTGTTATCATCATAGTGTTTATTCTACCATACTACTTATCTGCTTCGATATCACTCTTTGCCTATCCGCCTGTTCATTTGTGTACTACTGTACAGCGTGGCAACTTGAGATAATGCATCTGTATGCAAGGTTCAGCGTTGATTTCGCCAGTCGGTCAATGCGTCAGTTAAACTGTTGTGAACCCAGCTGTCAACAGATTCAACACTTTAAGTTGGTATTCATCATGGGTTGACGTCAGTTGTAGAACAATTAGAACCCTGAGGGCATTCGGTAACTAGTTCGTCCTAGTATAAGACGCCTTAGCAATGCGCACCCATGATTCCTCCAGAAATCGAATTCAAGACTTTGAAGTTAAGCGGCAAGGACATTATTACTAAGCCAATGAGTCAGATTCAGTGATCCACATTTCCTAATTCTCTCAGTTCCCGATATAGCTCAACAGCCATCCAATATTGTTTTTGAGTAACTGTCTTGACGTACAACATATTTAGTCCCATCCGTGATGACTTCTCATTAACATCTGGTGAATTTCATCTTCAAGCAAGTCACTAATGATTCAATTTGGATGTTTCTGGGAATTTACTTGTTGATTTCAGGTGATGAATACCAACGTGAAATCAATAAATAAATTCCTACAAGCCTCTGAACTGAATACTTCAACATTCTCAATATTTTTTTACAGTAAGTAATAGTATGTATAACTTCTACAAACCCTATTACATCATACACGAATTTCCTTTAATAAATTTGAGAAGGGGACGAACAATAGTGGGAGGAGGATAAAACGGATCCATCTTATTTCCGTGGCATCCGCTTACAACTTAGAGAATCAATATACATAGTTTTACTGAAAATTTAACATACTTTAATTCTCTGAAAGAAAACAGAATATCGGTCAATGGTTAAGGCGGATAGAAGCAGTCATAGAGTAAAGGTTAATAATAGCAGTAAATTCAAGGAATTTCATACATTTATTCCCCATTGAGTTCATCAAATTCGAAAATGTTTAACAAATAGTAATGTAGTCATAGTCAGTAAGAGTCTCAAGCCTGTTTTAAGGCTTCAAAAAGAAGCTATTGACAACCTCTGTCAACCTTGATAACCCTTCTTGAATGTTGTTTGATTAAATCATCCTTCATAAACCTTAGATGTACATTCCTTCACTTTAGTTGCATTATCTTTTGTTCATATCAAAAGTTTTTAAATAACTGAGCTTATTACTATTTACTGACCTACTTGTACTTCTCCTCTGTTTTATTTGATCGAACTGTCCGACCTCTACCGAGTCCCAAATGGGACAAAACGCGCATCCTGGATTCTTCTGCTAGCCATAACCAAACAAATTACCATAATTAACATTCAGGCAATATCGAGGCATCCGCATAGGAGCCCATATGGTGATAAAGGTCGAACAATTCTATCCAACAAAACAACGGAGAATAACAAGTATGTCAATAAATAGTTATAACTAATAGCTGTCGTACAAGAAGTAGCTATCGTTCCTTCGTGACATAGTGAATAACGCATTGACGTTTTAAGCGATGGGTACGAGGTTCGTGTCTCAGTGGGGACAAAATCACTCACTGGGGTGGAGGTACATCCAGCTGACGAGTATTAAATAAAACGAAACGCGCATTTTGGATTCTTTTGTTAGCCATAACCAAACAAATTACCATGGTTAACCGGGCTTAGTTCATAATATTTTACTTATTTATCGTATGACCTAATTACACAATCACATAACGATAAGTCCCTTTATTCTGTTTGCTACTCCTATTGTTATTTGTATTCGAGGGACTTCCATAAGATTATCTATGTAATTGTGACAATTTGTTAACATGTAATAAACTTGGTTGGGGCTAGCAAAGGAATCTAGGACTCGCGTTTTGTCCTGTTTGGGATTCCCTGGTTGAACCACCTACACTCCAATGAGTGATGTTGTTCCCACTGACACTTAAACCCCATACCCATCGCTTCAGACATCAAAGTGTGATCCACTAGGCCACTGAGGCACGATAGACTTCTCTTATACAATAGGTATTAGTTATTATTATTTGTTGGTACCTGTAATTCTCCGTTATTATACTGGAACTAATTGATCGACCTTCGTTATCACTTATCATATAATATTAGGCAATTTAGCGCAGACTACTGATTAAAATCTATTCGATAAAGTCTTTAAACTCATGGAGAAGTTGAGAGAGGTTTATCATCAGGGTTCCATCTGATTTTAGATTAAGCGCTTATAGGTAACCAACGAGAAGTTGTTCACAGAGGTTTCATTGATGTAGTACGAATCAACATAATAATGTCGATAAGTTACCTTTGAAGTAACTATGCTAAAAAAACTACAGTGAAGTTTTGCATTTGTAGGCAAAAGATACTTTAAAAATGATATCCAACCAACAACAATCACCATTAACGGTAGAAATTGAAAGGAGGTTGTCTCTTTCACCCAACGACCTACGTCAGACAGCATCGGTTCAACTACAGGTGGAGACCGAGGCACAAATGACGACATGAAAGCCAGAATCCGAAAGACACCAAGACAGGCCTTACTCACTGCATTCATCTGGAATCAGTGTGGAGATCTACTGCACTGCATTGCACTACACTCAGCATAAAACGTGAACAACATACAGATTTTCAACACTGATGTCAGTCAAGTAAGTCAGTGCTTCTATGTGATGGTTGAGAGAATTGGTGGGTTACGAAAAGCATTTCCAACAAACTGCAGACATACATCACATCAACAGCTGTCGCCCCCCCCCCTCACACTCACTCCATACACACACTGAAGATGGAGATCAGATGGCCAGAATGATAGAAATAAGCAGCAAACAACAAGGAACTGTGACTGGCAGCCAACCAACCAACCAATCAATCAATCAATCAACAACCTATCGTCCAACAAATATGCAGTAGATGAAAGTGGAGATGGATTGGATAGGATTGGATATACACTGAGAAGACGGTTTGTGGACATCACGCGTCATGTCATGTCATGTCAGGCCAGGTCAGGCCAGTCCAGGTAGTTGAGTGGAAGCCAAATGGGAAAGGATGAGGTGGGCATCTGAACTGATGGTGACATGGAGGAGATGGTGTGAGGAAGAAATGTAAAGAAATAGTGGGTGGATATACGAATAGATATACATAAGCACACGCATATGCACTAACTTACCGGTCTAATTTGCTTTTCTTAAATGGACAAGTGTAGTAATCTGGTGGAGGATTTGGAACCTTCTGTGCCATCATATTCGGGATTCTAAGTGTTTTCAGTATAATGTCCGACCAATTTTTGGCCTTGGTATGCAGTACCTAAATTTTTCCAAAAGGACATGCATATATCAGTTTTTGCATGAATGATAAAACTGAAAAAGTATTTGATCAATAAACGTAATAAATAGATTGATTTTAGTACTCAGCGGTGAAACTGGGTGATGGTCGCGCCATGTCATGAACTGACAGAAGTTGGAAATATGAACCACTGGATTTCGACACAGTTGCCCAATGGTAACGAGCTTGCTGCGGAACCTGAAGGTCCCGGATTCGATCCCAGGTGGGGTCATGTATGCGCACTGCTGAGGAGTCCCACACTAGGATGAAACTGCTGTCTTGTGCTCCAAAGTTTCGAGTGTTTTATTTCAACTGATGTCAGTTGATGATAAATACAGACTTGAAATCAATAGATTCCAACCAATCCCCAAAATGAATCAAAATGTTTGCTTAAAATGATCATTGGTGTTATACCAGCTTCAAAATATCAACATCTTTACAACATAAACAACTTGTACACAAGCAAGTCCAGTTATTTGACATGAATGGGAAGGATGAAAAGATTAGTTTGGGTGATTACTGAATTCAAGTTGATATTCATCACGGACTGATATTAGTTAGAGAACCAATGAAAACCTTGGAACTCTGGACAATAGTATCAGATGAAGGTCACGCCATTTCAGGGACTCATAGAAGTTGGAAAATGTGAACCCTTAGATCCAAATTCAGTGGCTCAATGGTTAACGTTTCCTCCGTCAGACTTGACAGTCCTGATCCCCCTGATCCCTGGAGGGGTCATGAGTAGTGGGTACTACCGAGGATATCCATACTAAAACGGAATAGCTTGAAAGTGCTTCAAGGTTTTTAATAGTTCTCCAATTCATGTCACTGCATGAAAAATATCAACCTGAAATGAATCAGTGTCCACAAATCAAATCAGATTATCAAAGTATTTTCTCTTATTCAATGGTTAGCCCAGACAGATTTCAGATTCGTCTTATAAAGGCATATTTTACTTGCATGTAAAAGTATTTCTTATTATTCCTCAGGGTTTTTATCTCGCTAGGAAAATATCCTAACAGTATGAATCTGATATTAAGTTTTTACATTAATGTTTCAAATCGCTTATATATAATCTTTCTACCATAGAAATATGTCATCTATTGAAATCATGTCAAACTTGGTCACTTATTTACTTCCCGAGAAAATCTTTATCATCAAACTAAAGGGGTAGCAGTCGCATTTATTGTGGCTAGTTTATACATACACTAAGTTGGATCAGCCTTGTTGTTTGATACTTGTGATTTCTCGTTGCTTCACTTCTTTTGGCAAGACAGATGTGCTCCTATGCAAACCCCTCGATACTGCCCAATCACTCATTTTTTTTATAGTCAGCTTGGTGGCTAGCAGTGGAATTCAGGATGGACGCCTTGTCATGTTTGGGATTCGTCAGATGGATGCACCTGCCTTCCAGTGAGTGGTAACCATCGCTTCAAACGCCAGAGCGTTATCCACCAAACCACTGGGGCACGAGAGCCAATGTCGAGTAATTCGACTTAATATAGTAACAGAAGGTTGCAATTATCGAACAATAATTGGTATCTGTCGTACAAGAAGTGGTTTTCGTGCCCCAGCGGCCCAGTGAACAACCCTTTGGAGCCACGGCAGTTGTTCTAGTCTCAGTGAGAACGACGTCACTCACTGAGGTGTAGGTTGAAAAAGGACATGAAAAAGAAAACTCATAAAGATAGGATAAGTACCGTAGTATTCCCTTATCGGACATCCTCATCAAAAGAAATAAGACGTATCCTTAATATCTGCAACATCAGGGTGTTCTTTAAAGTGAAGAAAACCTCACACTCTCATCTGAATTGCCATATAAAACACCAGAATTGTGTTTACCAGGCAGACTGCAACGAATGTGATCCCACATAAACTGCAGCGAAATCAAGTCAAGTACTTACATGTCCAAACGGACACGGTTGAAATCTCAGACAGCTACCAGAAAATCCATATGAACTGAAAAAACTTGAAAAAAGGTCAGCTACCACGGCTCAGCCGTATCATCGTGAAGAGACTAAAGCATGCTCTGGATTCGAAATTATAACCGAAACAGGCTGGCTGGCTGGCTTCAGGAAAAACAAATCATGAAAGGATCAAATGGCAACGCTATGCTACACATCATCGTTAAACAAAGCATAGAATGGCAGTCAAATCTCTACCTCAGCTTCATCGATTTTGAAAAAGCATTCGAAGGAGACGTTGACCGAGAAGTAATTTACCAAGCAGCTGATTCAACACTATGGTTTTGGTGCCACAAAAATTTCTCAATTTCATTCGACAGCTATATGAAGACGCAACATGCCAAGTGATTCACAATGGAAAGCTCAGCTCAACGATGCTTTCGAGGTAAAGTAAAGACAGGAAGGAGTAAGACAAGGTTGCCGCCTACCATCACCAATCATCTTCCTGATTGTGCTCTGATCGATTCGAATGGACTGGACTGGATCATGCAACAGACAAATATGAGAAGCTGTGAGATATGCATACTCTGTCTGGACCGATGGAAACACAAAACAAGAAGATTTGAATTTCGCCACCGACGATGGTTTATGTCTAATATCTTGTCGCAACAAACAGTGAGGAGCGAGAAGAAAGGGATACGTTGGACTGCGGAAAACATCCTAGAAGACTTGGATTTCGCCAATAATGACTTGTGTCCAATGTCACACAAACTTGGTGATCTACAGGCGAAAACTAACAAGTTGACAGAAGAGATGAGGTGGGGCAGTGAAGACCAGAGTTCCTTCTCGTGAATATAGAGAAGACAGGCCATGACGATACCCAGCCAACAACATCATCACCACCACCACCACCAACAACAACAACCAACTCCAATCAACATCAACGAGAGAAACTTAAAGGAAGTTACCTCCTTCACCCACCACCTAGGCAGCATCGTTTCACCTAAAGGCGGCACAGGCACAGACGAGGACGTCAAAGCAGCCAACATCGGAAAGACAGCAAGACAGGCCTTCATTAACCTGAAACCAGTGTGGAGATCGACTGCACTCCACTCCACTCAGCACAAACCGTGAACAACATCCCGATTTTCAACACCAATCCAGTCAAGTAAGTCAGTGCTTCTGTATGATTCTTCAGACACTTGGCGTGTCACGAAATGCATCTCCAACAAACTACAGACATTCATGAACAACGGCCACCTACACCCACTCGATACTGAAGCTGAAGCTGAAGCTGAAGATGGAGATCAGATGGATGGGCAGAATAATAAGAATAATCAACAAGGAACTCTGGCTGGCTGGCTGGCTGGCTGGCTGGCTGGCTGCTGGCTGGCTGGCTGGCTGGCTGGCTGGCTGTCTGGCTGGCTGGCTGGCTGGCTGGCTGGCTGGCTGGCTGGCTGGCTGGCTGGCTGGCTGGCTGGCTGGCTGGCTGGCTGGCTGGCTGGCTGGCTGGCTGGCTGGCTGGCTGGCTGGCTGGCTGGCTGGCTGGCTGGCTGGCTGGCTGGCTGGCTGGCTGGCTGGCTGGCTGGCTGGCTGGCTGGCTGGCTGGCTGGCTGGCTGGCTGGCTGGCTGGCTGGCTGGCTGGCTGGCAACGGACCAACGAAGCAAGAACCTATCACTGAACAAATATGCAGTGGAAGGAAGTGGAGATGGATTGGATTAGATTGGATTGGGCATACACTGAGGAGACCGACTGGGGACATCACGCGTCAGGTCAGGTCAGGCCAGACCAGGCCATACCATGCCAGATGCTCGAGTGGAACCCAGATGGGAATCGACGAGTTGGGCGTGTGTGCTGAGGGTGACATGGAGGAGATGGTGTGAGGAAGAAATGAGAGCTTGTGGGTAGTCGTGGAGCGAGGTTGAAAAGATTTCAGAGAAGAGAGTGGAATGGAGACGTGCTATTGAAGCCTAATGTTCCATTAGAAACCCAAGAGACAAATAAATAAATAAATAATCTTGTTGTAAAACTCGAAGATCTACAGGCTGAAACTAACAAGTTAGAAGGAGAGGCGACGCAGTGAACGAGGACGGAACTTCGTTCAAGTGAACGTACAGAAGACAAAAGTGATGAAGACAACCAACCACCACCGTCAACAACAACAGCAACGAAAAAACAACAAGCAACAGTCACCATTAACCGGGGAAATTTAAAGGAGGTTGTCTCTTCCACCCAACGACCTACGTCGGACAGCATCGTTCAACTACAGGTGGAGACCGAGGCACAAATGACGACATGAAAGCCAGAATCCGAAAGACACCAAGACAGGCCTTACTCACTGCATTCATCTGGAATCAGTGTGGAGATCTACTGCACTGCATTGCACTACACTCAGCATAAAACGTGAACAACATACAGATTTTCAACACTGATGTCAGTCAAGTAAGTCAGTGCTTCTATGTGATGGTTGAGAGAATTGGTGGGTTACGAAAAGCATTTCCAACAAACTGCAGACATACATCACATCAACAGCTGTCGCCCCCCCCCCCCTCACACTCACTCCATACACACACTGAAGATGGAGATCAGATGGCCAGAATGATAGAAATAAGCAGCAAACAACAAGGAACTGTGACTGGCAGCCAACCAACCAACCAATCAATCAATCAATCAACAACCTATCGTCCAACAAATATGCAGTAGATGAAAGTGGAGATGGATTGGATAGGATTGGATATACACTGAGAAGACGGTTTGTGGACATCACGCGTCATGTCATGTCATGTCAGGTCAGGCCAGTCCAGGTAGTTGAGTGGAAGCCAAATGGGAAAGGATGAGGTGGGCATCTGAACTGATGGTGACATGGAGGAGATGGTGTGAGGAAGAAATGAAAACTTGTGGGTGGTGGTGTAGCCAGGTTGAGAAGGCGGCAGAGAAGAGAGTGGGATGGCGACGTGCTACTGAAGCCCTCTCTTCCACTAGGAACTCAAGAAATAAATGATAATAATAATCACAGCGCGTGCTTTGTGTTCAGTTCATAAGGTATCATTTGAAAAGGGAAATTCCGTGCAAAACATTTTCCTTTCTCATAAAGACTGAGATATCGGAGAGGCTTTGGATATCTCTTCGTATCCTTCTGCGGTCAACAAAAAAAATTGGACTGGATATCCCACAATTAGGGGGAAAATTACTAACTTGCATAGATATTTTTGAATAATATACACGAAGAAGATTGAATTCAATTTCATTTTACACTACTCTACATGCTTTATTGCGAAGACGTCCATGTTTAGTGTCTCCAAACAGCACCCTTGCAACTAGTGAAATGGCCGAATAGAATTCTTTATTTTACTTGGAAAGGCTGATTTTCATAAAATGAAGAAATTGATTTGGTTATTTCAATCATTGTTAGGATAGGCTTTACAATCAAGCTTCGTTTTTCCTAAATGCTAATTAATTCTTACCTATCCCCTCTGATGACTCACAACTCTTTCGTACAGTTCATAATCAAACTAAATTCCTCACACTAGTTTTGTACTACCTTGCACAGCTTGAATAAGCTTCTTTGTTAAATTACTCACCTAAATTAGATTGATTTCTGTTCTACTCCACGATCTAATTGGATGATCATAAAGGTCATCTTCTGTACCAAAATTGACCATTGACCTGAATTCTTAATATAAGTAAGATTGATACTCTTGAAAAGGGTTTTCCTAACAAGATCAAAACACTGAGAAATTATACAGAATATTTGTTCATTTTGTTATTTGTTCCACTATACTACGCCGGGATTATCAAAGTAAAATACAATTTTCAGGATGAATCATATTAATTCGGTTCCCGAGTTTCTCCGAACTATTGAGTCCATCGCTGGTCGAGATATATTCAGATTCCAAACTACTTTTTGAGCTGTAGATGGTGAAAACGTAAAATGCTTGAGTGAATTTGATAAACACCTTAAAATCATTGTTTAGTTCTGCTGAATGGTTGAAATCGATTAGATGTTCAAGGAAAGAACTTCTCATGCATTTCCTTTCACCCTTATAAAGCCTGACTGGAATATGTTCTCGTATACATGTTGACACCAGTCACTGGCTACGGCAAATATACCTTTCTCCACAGCAGCATGTAATGTGGTAGGTGCACATGGCAGTGGTCTGTCGAGTAAAGGTCAAGGGAAGCTTGGTTGTGAAAAATGTCTTGCTAATTGATGTCGAGAGACGATTTTTTTTTTGAATTTCTGACGCTACATCATCTTTAAATTCCAGATTCATTATAAACTCTTTTTTTTAAAAAGTTGATGACTGGTTTCACATGTTTTACCCTCAAAAAATCGGCTATTATAGATCTTTTCCGCAGTGTATTGTTAGAGTGACTTTAAAGGTTACCCTAGCAACAACTAAAATAACCAATCAGACTACTGTATTTTATGAAAATCCACCTTTCCTGCCGAAACAAAGAAGCTTAGTTAGTCCTTCAATAGTTGCTACGGTGGCGTTTAAAGTTGCCCGTATTGTTATAACAAACTAATCAGGTTAAACCGAGTTAGATACTTGTCCAAAATACGATTATGATATCCTGTTTATCCTTCATCCAGTTCACGATCTTATCGTTACATTTAAAGGTGTAATACTAACAGTTAGATGTGCGTCATCAAAGTGAAAAAAGTACTATGGCTACCAAGTAGATCACACAATGAGCACAACTTGATAAGTCGGATATATCCGAGTTATCTACAAGTGACTCAGTTATTTTAACTTAGACACAATTGCTTAGTGGGCGAAAAGCTTAGACAAAGGTAATTTTTAAACTTATGAATAAACTCACTAAGGCAACCTTAGATGAAAGTTATTACAAATACGTGTTGAAAAGTAAGTCGTAAGCCTGCAGTCCTCGGAGTTCTTTGTGTAAATTTTGCAGTATCTTCCATCACTCCTCATATATGTGTTTTTCAGCAGTCTACTTCCATTTTATTCTACAGTTAACTAGTACACTAGTTACTAGCCGGTCCTAAGCCCGGATAAACAGGAAAGGTTGGGCTTAGGGCTAGCAATCCTACCCCAGAAAACCAATCCAATAACTAAATAAACTTGAAAGCACAAAGAAAATATAAAAAATAAAGACAAACTTATTCCTCACTGGAATTGGGGAGACGAAATGACGCCGGTTGGTGAAAGTCTTCGAGAAGCCAATTGGCCGATGTGTCTTCTCTTCTCTCGATGAGAGCGAAAGTAAGAATGGGGACATGGAATGTCCGCACCATGTATGTACGAGTTGGGCGTTCGAAGGTGACGTGGAGAAGTTCATGTGAGGAAGAAATGAAAGCTTGTGGGTAGTCGTGGAGCGAGGTTGAAAAGATTTCAGAGAAGAGAGTGGAATGGAGACGTGCTATTGAAGCCTAATGTTCCATTAGAAACCCAAGAGACAAATAAATAAATAAATAATCTTGTTGTAAAACTCGAAGATCTACAGGCTGAAACTAACAAGTTAGAAGGAGAGGCGACGCAGTGAACGAGGACGGAACTTCGTTCAAGTGAACGTACAGAAGACAAAAGTGATGAAGACAACCAACCACCACCGTCAACAACAACAGCAACGAAAAAAACAACAAGCAACAGTCACCATTAACCGGGGAAATTTAAAGGAGGTTGTCTCTTCCACCCAACGACCTACGTCGGACAGCATCGGTTCAACTACAGGTGGAGACCGAGGCACAAATGACGACATGAAAGCCAGAATCCGAAAGACACCAAGACAGGCCTTACTCACTGCATTCATCTGGAATCAGTGTGGAGATCTACTGCACTGCATTGCACTACACTCAGCATAAAACGTGAACAACATACAGATTTTCAACACTGATGTCAGTCAAGTAAGTCAGTGCTTCTATGTGATGGTTGAGAGAATTGGTGGGTTACGAAAAGCATTTCCAACAAACTGCAGACATACATCACATCAACAGCTGTCGCCCCCCCCCCTCACACTCACTCCATACACACACTGAAGATGGAGATCAGATGGCCAGAATGATAGAAATAAGCAGCAAACAACAAGGAACTGTGACTGGCAGCCAACCAACCAACCAATCAATCAATCAATCAACAACCTATCGTCCAACAAATATGCAGTAGATGAAAGTGGAGATGGATTGGATAGGATTGGATATACACTGAGAAGACGGTTTGTGGACATCACGCGTCATGTCATGTCATGTCAGGCCAGGTCAGGCCAGTCCAGGTAGTTGAGTGGAAGCCAAATGGGAAAGGATGAGGTGGGCATCTGAACTGATGGTGACATGGAGGAGATGGTGTGAGGAAGAAATGAAAACTTGTGGGTGGTGGTGTAGCCAGGTTGAGAAGGCGGCAGAGAAGAGAGTGGGATGGCGACGTGCTACTGAAGCCCTCTCTTCCACTAGGAACTCAAGAAATAAATGATAATAATAATCACAGCGCGTGCTTTGTGTTCAGTTCATAAGGTATCATTTGAAAAGGGAAATTCCGTGCAAAACATTTTCCTTTCTCATAAAGACTGAGATATCGGAGAGGCTTTGGATATCTCTTCGTATCCTTCTGCGGTCAACAAAAAAATTGGACTGGATATCCCACAATTAGGGGGAAAATTACTAACTTGCATAGATATTTTTGAATAATATACACGAAGAAGATTGAATTCAATTTCATTTTACACTACTCTACATGCTTTATTGCGAAGACGTCCATGTTTAGTGTCTCCAAACAGCACCCTTGCAACTAGTGAAATGGCCGAATAGAATTCTTTATTTTACTTGGAAAGGCTGATTTTCATAAAATGAAGAAATTGATTTGGTTATTTCAATCATTGTTAGGATAGGCTTTACAATCAAGCTTCGTTTTTCCTAAATGCTAATTAATTCTTACCTATCCCCTCTGATGACTCACAACTCTTTCGTACAGTTCATAATCAAACTAAATTCCTCACACTAGTTTTGTACTACCTTGCACAGCTTGAATAAGCTTCTTTGTTAAATTACTCACCTAAATTAGATTGATTTCTGTTCTACTCCACGATCTAATTGGATGATCATAAAGGTCATCTTCTGTACCAAAATTGACCATTGACCTGAATTCTTAATATAAGTAAGATTGATACTCTTGAAAAGGGTTTTCCTAACAAGATCAAAACACTGAGAAATTATACAGAATATTTGTTCATTTTGTTATTTGTTCCACTATACTACGCCGGGATTATCAAAGTAAAATACAATTTTCAGGATGAATCATATTAATTCGGTTCCCGAGTTTCTCCGAACTATTGAGTCCATCGCTGGTCGAGATATATTCAGATTCCAAACTACTTTTTGAGCTGTAGATGGTGAAAACGTAAAATGCTTGAGTGAATTTGATAAACAACCTTAAAATCATTGTTTAGTTCTGCTGAATGGTTGAAATCGATTAGATGTTCAAGGAAAGAACTTCTCATGCATTTCCTTTCACCCTTATAAAGCCTGACTGGAATATGTTCTCGTATACATGTTGACACCAGTCACTGGCTACGGCAAATATACCTTTCTCCACAGCAGCATGTAATGTGGTAGGTGCACATGGCAGTGGTCTGTCGAGTAAAGGTCAAGGGAAGCTTGGTTGTGAAAAATGTCTTGCTAATTGATGTCGAGAGACGATTTTTTTTTTGAATTTCTGACGCTACATCATCTTTAAATTCCAGATTCATTATAAACTCTTTTTTTTAAAAAGTTGATGACTGGTTTCACATGTTTTACCCTCAAAAAATCGGCTATTATAGATCTTTTCCGCAGTGTATTGTTAGAGTGACTTTAAAGGTTACCCTAGCAACAACTAAAATAACCAATCAGACTACTGTATTTTATGAAAATCCACCTTTCCTGCCGAAACAAAGAAGCTTAGTTAGTCCTTCAATAGTTGCTACGGTGGCGTTTAAAGTTGCCCGTATTGTTATAACAAACTAATCAGGTTAAACCGAGTTAGATACTTGTCCAAAATACGATTATGATATCCTGTTTATCCTTCATCCAGTTCACGATCTTATCGTTACATTTAAAGGTGTAATACTAACAGTTAGATGTGCGTCATCAAAGTGAAAAAAGTACTATGGCTACCAAGTAGATCACACAATGAGCACAACTTGATAAGTCGGATATATCCGAGTTATCTACAAGTGACTCAGTTATTTTAACTTAGACACAATTGCTTAGTGGGCGAAAAGCTTAGACAAAGGTAATTTTAAACTTATGAATAAACTCACTAAGGCAACCTTAGATGAAAGTTATTACAAATACGTGTTGAAAAGTAAGTCGTAAGCCTGCAGTCCTCGGAGTTCTTTGTGTAAATTTTGCAGTATCTTCCATCACTCCTCATATATGTGTTTTTCAGCAGTCTACTTCCATTTTATTCTACAGTTAACTAGTACACTAGTTACTAGCCGGTCCTAAGCCCGGATAAACAGGAAAGGTTGGGCTTAGGGCTAGCAATCCTACCCCAGAAAACCAATCCAATAACTAAATAAACTTGAAAGCACAAAGAAAATATAAAAAATAAAGACAAACTTATTCCTCACTGGAATTGGGGAGACGAAATGACGCCGGTTGGTGAAAGTCTTCGAGAAGCCAATTGGCCGATGTGTCTTCTCTTCTCTCGATGAGAGCGAAAGTAAGAATGGGGACATGGAATGTCCGCACCATGTATGTACGAGTTGGGCGTTCGAAGGTGACGTGGAGAAGTTCATGTGAGGAAGAAATGAAAGCTTGTGGGCAGTCGTGGAGCGAGGTTCAAAAGACTGCAGAAAACAGAGTGCAATGGAGGCATGCTACAGAAGCCCTATGTTCCACTAGGAACCCAAGGGAAAATAATAATGATATCCACAAATCTGTCAGTAGATATTTGTGTTTTGTCAAGCTGTATTTGTTTACTATGACATAAAATTATCACGACTGTGTAAATACTTGATCTTCAATGATTACTTAAGCAGTGATCGATTTCAAAAGTGTATTTTAAAAACAAATTTGGTTAATTTACCCTTGTAATGTTTGAATGCCTCTTAATTCAATTGAATGGTCAAGGAGGATCCTGAGTGATGCTAGCTTTAAATGAGATAAAAGTCTGTAAAGAATATCAGTAGAATACTACTAGGAGCTGAGTGGCAGTGATGTATAACATAAACTGATTTCAGTTCCTCGATTTATGTAATCAGAAATACGCAAATGTTAACCGTCATTACACAATTTCTGTCACATAGATTGAAGGATAGAAAATGTTTTTTTCTGAAGAACAAAGTAAGAACAAATTGACATACTTCAAGAGGAGCCCGAAGATTTAAACATTCAGCATGATGACACATTAGATCCCAAGGAATATGTAACTTTAAATAATGTGTTTCCAAAGTTGAGCTTCTAACATCCTCCTAGAAATAAGGAAATTGAAAATATCATTCATTAGGTTCAAATACCAAAACATCAGTTGTATTCATATTCTTTATCTGAATTCATAAAGAAAAATTGTAAACTTTAAGGTTGGTTGACATCAACTTATAATTTGGAAGAGAACTGAACATAATAATGAATATTCTAGCAATATAACTGGAAGTTGAAGAGGGAATGGCAATGAAATGTTTTAGAGATGCAAAAAAAATACAGTCATTACGACATTGTCAAGGATCTATGCTAGATTAGAAAACAAAAACATATAAGTAAGATTCAGAAATCGATTAGCCTAGAGGAGAATAGTTTAACTGAATTTATTATACTGTAGAACCAGAAACATTTACTGTAGTAACGAAGAACTGAAAGTACAGCTTCGGTTTCAACTGTTTGACGTCGGAAATAGGTTTACCAAACAATCAAACTGAATTCATTCGTTTGCTTTTTATTCAATTGGATCTACAAGACATCTTTATTTTGGTTACTATTGTATATGTGAGAAGCAATCACACTAATTAGGAGGTATATACATTTCAGAATATATTTTCTAAAACGAAATAGAAGACAAGTCGTGACCGGTGGAGTCAAAGCCTGATGGCCATGAGGACAAATACTCAACGATGACATTGGGTGGCGGTTGCGCTATATATCGTGAGCTAACAGAAGTTGGAAATATGGAGCATTGGATTCTGACACAGTGGCTCAATGGTAAAGTGCTGGCCGCGGAACCTGAAGGTCGCGGGTTCGATCCCTGCTGGTGGGGTCGTGGGTGCGCACTGCTGAGGAGTCCCATACTAGGACGAAACAGCTGTCCAGTGCTCCCAGGTTTCCTTCGTTCCTCCAACTGATGTCAGTCTACGATGAATAACAACTTGAAATAGAGGACAATTTTGTACTTTTGACTAATTTTTATACACTGGTATGTGAATATGAATTTTGTAGATGCAATTAAAAGAAACGTGAAAATGCAACTGATAAACTTAGAATTCATTTAGACAATAATTCGTTTCACAAATTGAATGTAGATTGATGGGCTAAATGTGCACTCTTCATAGGGGCATTTTGTTTGCAACTATTTCTTCTATCATTTGCATCATCTTTAAAGATAAGTGCTAGACAGAATTGTGTTTTGTTAGGTCTCTGAAGAGTGAACAATTTCATGTTGTAAAGTCCTGAGTGCTGACAGAAAACTTTTATTTCCTTTTCCTTTCATTGTTTATTTTTTCGATGACGAAAGATGCCAATTGTAGTCACATAGAAAAGAAAAGATATTTCAGAGAACGAAAATTTCCTTTTCAACGATATCACGTTCTAAAACTATCCAATCATATTTATACATAACACTGAAATATAACAGTGTATTATTAACAGTAGGGTATAGTTGCACTATTATTATTATTATTATTATTGTTATTTGTTCCTTGGGTTCCTAATGGAACATTAGGCTTCAATAGCACGTCTCCATTCCACTCTCTTCTCTGAAATCTTTTCAACCTCGCTCCACGACTACCCACAAGCTCTCATTTCTTCCTCACACCATCTCCTCCATGTCACCCTCAGCACACACGCCCAACTCGTCGATTCCCATCTGGGTTCCACTCGAGCAACTGGCATGGTATGGCCTGGTCTGGCCTGGCCTGACCTGACGCGTGATGTCCCCAGTCGGTCTCCTCAGTGTATGCCCAATCCAATCCATCTCCACTTCCTTCCACTGCATATTTGTTCAGTGATAGGTTCTTGCTTCGTTGGTCCGTTGCCAGCCAGCCAGCCAGCCAGCCAGCCAGCCAGCCAGCCAGCCAGCCAGCCAGCCAGCCAGCCAGCCAGCCAGCCAGCCAGCCAGCCAGCCAGCCAGCCAGCCAGCCAGCCAGCCAGCCAGCCAGCCAGCCAGCCAGCCAGCCAGCCAGCCAGCCAGCCAGCCAGCCAGCCAGCCAGCCAGCCAGCCAGCCAGCCAGCCAGCCAGCCAGCCAGCCAGCCAGCCAGCCAGCCAGCCAGCCAGCCAGCCAGCCAGCCAGCCAGCCAGCCAGCCAGCCAGCCAGCCAGCCAGCCAGCCAGCCAGCCAGCCAGCCAGCCAGCCAGTCAGTCACAGTTCCTTGTTGCTTATTCCTACTATTCTGGCCATCCATCTGATCTCCATCTTCAGCTTCAGCTTCAGTATCGAGTGAGCGAAGGCGGCAGTTGTTGATGAATGTCTGTAGTTTGTTGGAGATGCATTTCGTGACGCGCCAAGTGTCTGAAGAATCATACAGAAGCACTGACTTACTTGACTGGATTGGTGTTGAAAATCGGGATGTTGTTCACGGTTTGTGCTGAGTGGAGTGGAGTGCAGTCGATCTCCACACTGGTTTCAGGTTAATGAAGGCCTGTCTTGCTGTCTTTCCGATGTTGGCTGCTTTGACGTCCTCGTCTGTGCCTGTGCCACCTGTAGTTGAAACAGTGTATCCTAGATAGTTGAAGGAGGTAACTTCCTTTAAGTTTCTCTCGTTGATGTTGATTGGAGTTGGTTGTTGTTGTTGTTGGTGGTGGTGGTGATGATGTTGTTGGTTGGGTATCTTCATGGCCTATGTCTTCTCTATATTCACGAGAAGGAAGTCTGGTCTTCACTGCCCCACCTCATCTCTTCTGTCAACTTGTTAGTTTTCGCCTGTAGATCACCAAGTTTGTGTGACATTGGACACAAGTCATTATTGGCGAAATCCAAATCTTCTAGGATGTTTTCCGCAGTCCAACGTATCCCTCTCTTCTCGCTCCTCACTGTTAGACATAAATCATCGTCGGTGGCGAAATTCAAATCTTCTTGTTTTGTGTTTCCATCGGTCCAGACAGAGTATGCATATCTCACAGCTTCTCACAGTTGTCTGTTGCATGATCCAGTCCAGTCCAGTCGAGTCGACCAGAGCACGATTAGGAAGATGATTGGTGATGGTAGGCGGCAACCTTGTCTTACTCCTTCCTGTCTTTACTTTACTTCAAGAGCATCAGTGAGCCGAGCTTTCCATTGTGAATCACTTGGCATGTTGCGTCTTCATATAGTTGTTGAATGAGATGGATCAAGGTGTGTGGTATTCCGTAACATTAAAGCAACTGCCAAATTGTCGGTCAAAGCTGTTGAAGGCTTTTTCGAATCGATGAAGTTGAGGTAGGGTTGAATTCACTGCCACTCCATGCTGTGTTTTATGATGAAGCGAAGCGTTGCAATTTGGTTCGCACATGATTTGTTCTTCCTGAATCCAGCCAGCCAGCCAGCCAGCCAGCAAGCCAGCCTGTTCTGGTCGTAGTTTTGAATCCAGTGCATCCTTCAGTCTCTCCAGGATGATGCGGCTCAAGATTTTGCTTGCTTTGGGTGGACAGGAGAGTGATTCCGCACCATTTATCGCAAACACTTAGGTTACCCTTCTTCAAGAGTTCGACAAGGTAATCCTTCTTCCAATCAACTGGCAGATACCTTCTCTTCCTTCCACACCTTCTGCAATAGTGGTGTGGTGTGAGCATGTCCACTGTTGTCTCTGAGTCTGTTTTCAGTGCTTCTGGTGAAATCCCATCTAGTTCTGCTGCTTCCCCACATTTCAGTTGCATTTTGGTGTTGAGGACTTCGACTTTCGTTGGAGGGCTTGTGTTCACTTGACGTTCTGTGGTTGGGGTGAAGGTGTTATTTCTATACGAAGTGCAGGTGGTGGTGGTGGTTGATCCAAGAGCTTTTTGAAGTGGTCAGCCCATTGTTTCCTTTGTTTCTCTTCTTTCATGATTACATTTCCTTCATCATCTTTTATTGGTTACGTCTTCGTTGATCTCTTCCCTGCCAGATAGTCACCTGGTTATTTGATACAATGTTATCAGGTGTCTCCTGTCTGCAGCCTATTCTGCTTCACTTGCCAATGTATCGTGAAAGTGTCTTTTGTCTTTGCGCGCACTCTTCTTCACTTCTCTGTCCAGTGTAGTGTTTTATGCATTGTACTCAGTTCATCTTCTCGTCGTTGAGCATCCTTGCACTGGTTTATCTTCTGCTTCACCATCCTCCTCTCCCTACTCTATCAGATTACATGTATCCATCGAGATCCATTCCTTGTCTTCTTTCTTCTTCCTTCCTAACACGGCTATGCAGGTTTCTTTCCACATCTCTTTCAAAGATTTCCAATGTTCTTCAACACAGGTTTCTTCAGGGATGTTGCCAGTTGCATCATCAAGCTATTGCAAAAATTGAAATCAAGCCTGGAAAGGAGTTGCTTAATAATCTTTAAGAGAGTGAAATTAACGAGAAAGGCAAGGAGTTTGATAATGTGAAATGCAAAGATTGAGTGTTCACTTGATAGATATTAAGAAGGGAGAGAAAGGAAAATGTTCATAATGAAGGTGACAGTGGTAAATTAATTAATTATGGTGAATTCGATTCAGGAAAAGAAAAGCATGTGGGGCATGGTAAGGTAACATATTGAACATACTTCCTCAGAACTCAAAGACCAGACTTGTGTAGGTGAATTGTCAATGCTTCTGCTGTTCACAATTGTAGAAAGTGTACTACTTTTGAACTGCTTCTTTGACTCCGTAAATGACAGAGAAGGAGGACTGTAGTGGAGTTATATGTCCACAGTTGACTAAATGTTCGAGAATTGAATTGTTAATTAATTTACATTCTCTCCTCAACAGCCATGCAGGGTAGAGCTCACTTTGTGTGGCGTATGAAAGTAACTCCACAAGAAGTAGCAAGTTATAGACAAACATTAAAGTAGCTTAAATTGGTAGTTTATACTTAACACTCTCCCATACCATTTGCTGACTGGAGAAGCTTATCTGTAGCTTGATGGAGAAGAATGTATTCTTCAGCAATTTGCGCAACTCATTTTTTCAGGATCTCTACTACTCTATCACTCTCGAAATCAAAATTCATAAACAAAGTCTCCCTTGAAGCTATGAGTGCTTGCTTCATATTCTAACTCAATCTCAAGTTTTTCTCAATAAATCTGGACGGGTTTCTGTTTTGTGTCAGAAT